GGAGCTGGACGACATTTCCATCTTAATTAGTCATTAAATAAAACGAATGATGTTTCACATTAAGTGCAGCCCCCTGTTACTAATTACATGTTTAAATACCTGTAACCATGTTCATCCTTATTACTAATTGATTATCATTTTTTTCTTTGAAAAGGGAGTTTCGACATTCGATCAAATAATTATACTTGTCTGGATTCATAATTCATTACGACTAATTTGGTTTTTGAAGAGTCCGAACATGTCATCAGCTTGCTTTATTGTTGTTGTTTTTATTAGTAAGTCATTAAAACTACGACTGCATTCGACTTTATATATATATTATTTTATCATTATTGATGTAAAATGTATCCATGATTATCTGAATATGTGATAATTCATACAACTATAATGCTACCTTTATCAAAGTCCTGTTCATATATATGTAAGCTGTTTATCTTCTCATTTCATTTATTTCTTAAATTGATAATGACTACGGTTGTCATTAAAGCGTTTTGATACAATGCCATATTCATGTTAATTAGCCATCAATAAACATGACTGCAGTTTAACATTTAGTGAAGAAATGTCGCAAAAAAATCCAACCAACGCGTGTTTGGATAATATATATATCAATGTTCATCAGAATTAGCCAGTAAAGATTTCGACTGCAATTCGACCTTTAATGGTCAAGGGTTTAAAACGTGGTACTCATATTTACTCTTCAAATTAACATATTGATAACTTTGTGTTAAGTCATATGTGGCAAATCTGTTATGAAGGGTACATTTTTGGCTTTTATTACATTTTGGTATTAACTATCATACCTACAGTGAGACGATTAATGAAACAGAGTCCAAACCTATCATCAAGCGTTCTTCATTCGATTGAATTCATGTTTCAATGTATGTATTATTGAATGTCATAATTATATATACTTTTATCAAAGGTAATGTCTGTTGGCTGGTTATATTGCCTCCCATTTTAATCATGTATGTTCCACCTTAACACACGGGCAGTATGATTTTCTTTTACATTCTTTAATGCTTTTATTCCTATTCCTGTGCTTTGCTTTTATTGATGTGGGCGTTTCCTTATAGACAAAACAGATTAAGATTAACAAATGTTTTGACACTCAATGATGAATGTACGTTAAGTGAAATTAATTAAATAGGCCAGTATATGTTATAAATACTAAAATAACAACAATGTAAATCAATATTTACATACCCTGTGAGATGTTATCCCCTATTAATCCAGTGTATGTGACGAGATGGGGGGAGGGGCTGTGATGTTGATAGAGATCAATCAACAAATACCACGTTATGTCAAACACAAGTGTTTATTTCTGTGGTAACTGTGGTGAGAACTTTAAATCGTTATGTTTATGATACCGATTGGAGATAGTATCCTAATCTACAGCTATGACAGCTCCAGAACATGATGCGTGGTACGTGTACTTTACCAATGAGAGTCTAGCATTCCAAGCTGTACCAAACATTCAAAATCAAACATTTCTATGTCATCATACTATAAAGACAACATATTGTTGATAGGTGTCAGTGTTTACCGTTTCTTCAGTCGGGTTATTAATAATGGGATGTAATACCAGCATGTGCAGAGTAACGTTTTTATTTCATCTACTTACTTATTGAAACAACAGGGACATGTATTAACAAACTCGAGTGTTTATTAACAGTGGGTTTCATTGTTTTTACCCATTTGTTTTTTGTGTTATGCTTAAAAAGCTAGTGAAAAAACTAGTGAAATTAAAAACATATAGCTTGTATTCTTCTCAACAGAATGTCTTGATACTTGAATGATATGAAAGACTTAAACCCAAATGGTTTCAGACATATCAAACTTTTCTTAAGTCCTAAAAGATAATGTTTCGCATGTTTAAAATGTTTTGATTTTAGATAGTTTATGTGCATATTAATGCTAATTTTGTCTGCAGATAGTAATGACGAGTGTTTGTCTGTTAAGTAATTATTACACCGTGTGAGGATTTTCTAAAATAAATATTATGATATTCTGATCTAGTTCAGTCAACTCGTCTGGACGGCCACGTTATCGCCGATTAAAACACATAGAGTAACAGAAACCTAGAGCTTTGATGTTATCTTTACTATCTGTTTATCCGTAACATGTGGAACGCGTCTAATTGAAAATGACGGCGACATTTAATTCATCGACGTTTTCCTATTGCACGTCAGCCTGGATGTGTAAATGTGTGAAATGTTAGTTGGTGTATACGTATGCAATAAAATCGTGGGAAGTCATGTAATGTGTTTGCTCTCAAAGTATCTGTGATTTAAAGCAATATTAACTAACTGTTTAGTAGTTCTTTGGTAAGGCGTTGTTTTTATGAGCCTTTACATTCGCGCTGAGCACCATTTCTGAGTTTTAACACGTCAAGAAGCATGGCAGCAAGACTACATCTATATGCCTTAGCCTTTCATCTCAATATGTTTGATATAAAGTCAAATAACGACTTAGGATTTATACTATGTGTCTGTTAATGAGCTCTAAATCAATTTGACAATCTATACATTTTAACGCCAAGTTGTGCAGAACATATTACGTTATAGATGAGTAAGTGTGTTTTATATTGCAGCGTTTGACTATAACCACATCCTCTACAACACTATACACCGATCATCGCGATCTGCTTCCTTCCTTATACTGTAACCGGAAGTTCCTCGTGAGATCAACACGTGTAAAGATGGATGTTTAGCAAACTCAATACTGTTGAAGGCAAACAGTAATAGCGTCTGTAACGGACATATGTACTACATCAGCAGGGGACCAATACTTTCGTTTTTATATGAAATTACATGTAATGCTTATGTCTTAGCAAAGTGTCTGGAATTCAAACGTTACATAATATATAGATACATCTTCCATATTCAAAGCAATTTATTTTACCATGGACGTCATTACTACAAAATGCTGACAATAATATTTCTGTACTATAGGAGATTCATATGAAAAGTTCCAATACGGACTTCATTAGTTTCGTGAAAACATCATTAGCTGTTGATGTCGATGTACTATTGTTTTACGACATAGCCAACAACTTCGCCTCCCCAATATCACTGTACAGACTTAAGTGCTTTACTTTATCATATCATCGAAATCTTAATAACACGTATTTTAGACTGTTTTTGGTAAATATTTCATCGATGGACAATTTTGTGAAACTTCGGGGAGAAGTCGAGCCGTTTTAAGGATACATCAATTGTCCATGTCCTAGTTTGGAACGATTGTTTTATGGCCATGATTAAAGATATATAGCGTTTGAGGGACATGTGACACTCGCTTTATACAGGAATCCGGGAGTGTATGATTCTGTATTACGTTTCCAATAGTGCAATACGGTTTACACTCGTTATCACCTTTCAAAGGTATTTTCAGTTTAAATGTTGAGGTTTTTTAATTTTAAATGATATTATGAGTACCTTTTTCATCGAATTGATCTTCCCATGTTTCTTATTTTTATTTATTCGTGTTTATTTTTGAAAACCATAAACTTTGAGACCTAAAAATATGTAGGATTTTACAGTATACATAAGCATAAGTTTCCTGTATATTTCCACGTTTGCATTCGTTTTGGTTATTCAATAATGAAAGGGGTCCGGTCTTTTTGTATGGTACAAAGTGGTTCCGTACGCATTACATATAACCTATTGAAAAACACCTGACGTATACAGTTTATTCATGGAATCAGGACATGATAGAGAACGTTTTTAAAAATTACCGAACTGATTTTAATTTTAAGAAGAGGGTTCGAGTCGGTTACGAATGTAAGTGATCGGAAATGCATTGCATAATGTGTTTGCGTGGATATCATTTTGAGTTCATTGTGAAAAAATTCTGCTTAATTAAGTCTAATGGAATTATCCCAACAGACGATAGAGAAGGAAGAATGAGCTCATTTGCGGCTTGATTGCCGCCTGAATTCATTTAGTCCATATATTTCAACATTTCGATTCTTATCTTTAAGCCCTTAATATGTATATTACTTTTATAAGTAATCATGTATTGACAAAAACACGGAAACCTTATAATGAATCCATTATATAACAGTTTTTGATTTAAAAAAAAATATATTTTAACTTAAATTTTAAATTAAAGCTTTGTGTCCAGATATTGTGCGGGAAATATCATTATCTGTGCATGAAGTACTATTTTCTCTTTGTATCTCTTTACGTGTTATACAAGTCTTTCTTTTGGATGGACAAGTTAAAATGCTATTCAAGTGTGAAGACAATTTGCATATTACAAATGCACTAAAATTTAGAGTTTAAATGTAACATGTACTTACGTGAAGATTGAAGTGAACTTTAAACCTTAATGCATTAATGCAATAAATTGCAGACAGTAATGTATGATAAAAAGTATAGAAGGATGATTATTTCTTGTCAAATAAAAGGTAAGATAGTAAGACACATGTCGAAACCACAGATGAAGGCCGAGGGGTAGGTGAAAGTTTAATATATTAAATACATAACGGGATTAACGTTAGACGCAAACATGCGATTGCACCTAAAAAACTTTATCAAAGATACAGTTTGCCAAAAATGAATTACACTGCACCATACCACTGCTATGTCCTTCAAGGACTCATCGGTGATGATAGGGCAAAACAAGAGAAAATCAAAATGGGTCTAAACTTCCTCTTAAACAGAGGGGACTGAGGGTACAAGTTAAAATTCCTTAATTACATGAATTTTAAAATTTGAGGATTACTAGTTAATTCTAAATTAATAATGAGTAAAGTCTGTATATTATGAAACGTGCTACTACTAGGGGACATAGTTGTGGCTATGAAGGTTAAACTAAGAACATGCTGCCAACTTACAAAAGCTGAAACACTATGATTGCCTGGACAGTGTATATGAATCTTCCTCTATACCTCCACGCACACGAGCCTGCCAAGTGCAATAGACTGATGATAAAGATATATATTCTCTACGCGAGACAGTCCAGGGCATGTAATACGTACAACTCGACACAATAGGTATAAATATCCGGTTTTATTTACATAGAAATCTGATAGACCATCTAAACAAAACCCCATATAGAACATTGATTTCGTTTAATTCCTCCTGATTTCGGCATTCCTCTTATTTTATAACTCGTATCAATCCATACCACAGCACAAACACACATTACAATTCTAGTCTTCACACATTCCGACAAGGACCATACCCTGACAGCTTGTCCGCCTACAGAGTCAAGTATTGTTATGTTAGCATGGTCACTTCTTACAGTATCTAATAGGAGAGATCTAAAACACATAATGATTGAATGGCGTTACAAGTATTTTTCGTCTTATTTTAAAAAAAAATGCATTTTAGTATAAAACAAAATATTATCTTTATTTATTGTATAATTAATTTAGCAGTTCCAAACTAGCAGACCGATAAAAACAATATAATGCATGTATTTTTTGTTTATTTTGTACTGTGGACATATGTAGATAATCAAAATCAACAGAGAAAGTCACAAATTGTTCTAACTGTATATAACAACTAATGTAACAATTATTGAGGACAGTGTTGCTACAAGCTGACAGAGCTCAGCCTTGTTGGTTCTTGGACAAGTTCATTTAGCGGTCCAGTGACCGGAACTACATGTTAAACACTTTTGATAATCTCATTGACTTGTGAATATTAAAACAAGATGAATTACCCCAATACTGGCGATGAATAGTGCATACTGTAATAGGATTACCAGATCGTCACTAATACCGTGACACAAGAAACTACCGTCCTACAGACTGGGCATGCGCAACACTGATTTACACTAAGTCTCCTATATTTTATCAATGTAAACACCAATCTAAGCCCTGTCTCCTACATTTTGTCAATAATGGATGAGAGTTACTAGAAACACAAGGAGGCGAAACAGTTTTGGCACAAGAAGAATATTACATGGCAACGCTAAAAAGAGAAATTGAAATTGTTATGTTCAGCATGAAATGACGTGATGTTTTTTCTCCAAATAACTGTATAAACAACTTGTGGAAATTGTCAGTAGTTTATTGACATGATGATGCGATCAATCCTAAGATGTATATAATCTGAACAGTGTATAAACTGTTGTCAATTAGCAATACACCATAAGCACTTTCATGTTATTGAGATATATACACATAACTAAACAAATAAATATCTACACAAACAAACACCTATATAATTAAGAGTTGATCAGTTTTAACTAATGCAAACAATTTTTGAAATTGGCTGCCATTTCATATATCTATAATGTCCCACTCAGTTGAAGAGTGTGTCCTACGGTATTATCTGAATGTTGATTTCTCAACTTTCTAATTAATACGGTAAAATACACTTGCATAATAATATTTTATAACTCATGTCATATTTTTTTCTCTCTCAGAAGTCATACCTTATCATATAAACAGTATGAGTGAGTCTTGAAATATCTCCAAATAATTTATATCTAATGAACAAAAGTATCACAGCAATTATTTATCATTGTTGGTGTCCTATATGGCACAAAATGTAATTCTGTAGTAAAACGTTGTCCATCAGCATCCAAATCGATACAAGGGTAATCACAGACACATAAACACATGTCTCTTTGTACAAATGCTGATATAGTTCACCCTATACTTTACCCAACACCCTAACCGGAGGATATAACTGTCTGACATATAAATAAATGTACTGTCCGTTAACCAGTTATTTCAAAAGAAGAGTTTCTTACTTCGTTTTGAACGGCAAGATCAACTTCTGTTGAATGGCGACTAGAGGCTAACACATATTACAACTCGATCACTTAGTTTAGCTAATTGATTCAGAGTAAATTGAGTATGTTATCGATGTATTTTGGCAAATATATATTGATTATAACTGCTAGGGTCGACAACTGTCCACCACCGAGGAGTCCGAACCTTTCTGGGCCATTTTGTCAGGTGATAAATATGGATGATATCTGTACATAGATGCGGGATAAGGAAGTCCGGGGGTTTCCGAAGACGATGAGTATGATACACTTCCGGGCATGGATTCTCTCATCCGGAGATTATTGGCACTAACAAACGGATGAAACGCCACCGTCGGAAACACAAAGCTGGAGTTATGAAGTCCAAATAAGCCACCATAGAGGGCGTAAAGTGATCGACTGTCATTAGGCATGTAGGAGGCAGCACCGGCGGAGGAACCCATCACAGATGAGGGAATCGGCCGCCATATTGGAAAGTGTGGATGAGGTAGCATACCTTGCTTTTCTGTCTCTTCTGAAAATTGTAGAATAAAAAAGCTTTCATAGATAATGTTTAATACCAAGAATCAATTTGTAAATAAATGTGGTAATGTTTATCTCTCATCTTTGTATTAGTTGTAATTGTTTCAAAAACGGTTTATTTTTCCGTAGCAGTAACAAAGAGATTTGAAAGAGAAATATTTAACATATTTATGTTTACAGAAAATAATTCTAAAACAAAAAACATATACACTAACAACGTTGATGTCTCATTGGTTTACAAATTAATTGGAGATGCGTCAATGAATATGTGCGTGATAGAGGGAAATCAGGCCATATTGTAAAAATGTTCTTTTGATTTTGAAACAGGTGCATGTAGTATCCTTTAAACGTAGTGGGGTTAAAGTTTGCGGTTTGGGTTCCTGCTGATTAGCCACATATGACCCAAAGGGGGACCACACAAAAACACCAGGCGAAACGAAGCAGACATCACTCTTCATTTGAAGTCACAAGGCAAATTAAACACGCGAAACTATTAGTAAAAATATTATTTGATCACGAAGGGCATTTCTTAGCGAGGCATTGAAGCGATCCGTATGTAAGTCTGACACCTCTACGGAAGCCTCGCACAGAAACCTGAATTAATAGTAGGTTTTATGTTTATATTTTGGACCACCTGCGAGCCATGAGCTTGTTTGTAAACGTACACCTATAGCGACTCGTTATGGACTCCGTGATAAACTGCCTCAGTTGTAAATGATCAGGTCTTAATCGAGGAATAAAAGTAAAAAAATAGATAGGATACTTCAACCATAATGACACGGCTTATACAAATGTATCCAACTCATGGCGAGAGGTCAAGGGGTCAAAACACATAGGCGATGTCGAAATGAAAGAACGCTACAGTTGCTCATCTCATTTAATTGATATTTGTGTTCATTTGAAGGATACTATGTAGTGATAGAGTCTAGAACGTTAGTTTTATTGTAAATGCACCAGTAAAGTGCAACAAGAGGTGGGAAGAGGTCGACAGTGATAACAGTGTAGGGAGTGCGTGGTTAACCACTAATTCTTACACACGGTACAGCCCAATAGTCCAACAAGGTTTTAAATGTGAATCATAAAGAATTGTAAAATACCTTTCTGTTAAATATGTTGGTACTATCAGTCAAATTTACCTGCAACTAATATGATATTTTTGAGAAAAAGATTTTGCAATGCACTTGTCTTTATATTTTAAAATTTTGTGTATAATTTTCAAACAGTTGAAGCATGAAGTTATCGACTTCTTCTTGGTGAGATTTTCGAATCATTTTCTAGAAAACCTTTCCTGCTGAAGGATTGCAGTGATTAACATTTTTTAAAGATTGATATTAAGTGCATTAAGTCTAATGCCTGGTATATTATTGAAAAAAAATGGAATAAGTTTCGTATATTCATGGATATTGCATACAGAAATATATTATCTAATAAATAAGTGCATTTGTAATATATATTTTTGTAGTTATCAAATGGATTGGTGTTATGATTACGACAAAAGAAATTATTTTCATATTGTTAATTAACGATGAAAAACTACTTTGTCTTTCATTCAGTTGGTGATACTGATTTAGCTGCATTTTCAGAAATATATATATCATATTGATTCAGATATAGTAATATTATTTTATTTACATGATCATGCATTGTTGGCAAATGTATGCTGTATACAATGTCATTAATTACATATTGAATAATAAACCATCTACATCAAATGAATTTATACAACTTAACAATGAAAAGAATATATGTTTTTTGTAACCTACACACCTGATTGCAACTGTTTTGTAATTCACACACTTGATGACAAAACTATTATCTTCTTTGTAACGATAACAATACAAAATCGATTAAATTTAAAAAAATCATTTTAATTTTAACAAAATCAAACCCAAATGATTAAAATACAAAGATCATTTCCATCTCTATTTCTACTCTTACTTCTGTTACCAAACAGAACGTATCTACTGTAACTTGTATAACTTATTACACATCAACACTTCATTATAAACTATTTAACAAAATTACAAATAGAATAATAGAGTCAATTAGCAACAAAGAACCCTTGATAATTTGTGTGGTGAAGTTTTGCATAAAACTATAATTGTACAGTATACCAAATGATCAAAGGCGGAGTACAATGGTGTGACGTCTGTCTATTATGTTTATCACTATGACTGAAATAGACAACAGAATGAAGACTGAACATTGTATTATGTATACGTAAAAACCTTTCTTGATATCAAACGTGCCTTCTTAAGAGAAAGAAACCCTGATCTCAAGTATAAATCTCGGCTTCATAAATGACAACTTGACCTAGTTTATATATAAAAAGTACCTGTATTAGACTAAGAATTATATTAATATCATATCTAATTTTCATTCATATGATCTGCACATAGTTATACAGACACAGGAACATCTATTCTACCTTATTATTAGATGTTAACGAACATTGGACCATTTACTACATCCTCATTTAACAGAAACATAACTGAACTCAATATCGATACACCAACACAATAGCCGGAACTGAACATACACCCATAGAAAGGGAAAACAACATGATCTCCCACTTAACATATTAATGTTTACATTTTGTGTGGCATTAAAGTATGGAAATTTTAATTAAGATGTAGAAAAAAAATGGCTGTCCCTCTGAGGTAATGCTATATATCAAATAATATTAAATCTAAGAGAAATAGAGAACGAGAGACAGAAACCCAAAACAATGAGTTGATAAATGAATAATTGTGTTTATTGTATTTATAGTAAACGAAAGGTTGAAATTACTTTATTCCAGTAACACTAGGTTTCCGTTTTCAATCTAAATTTATTTAATATTTAAACAAAAAAAATAAGTATATGAAGAAACGTAAGCTGACATTTCTAAAAGTTAACAGCTAGAAAATTAAAATCAGCTGCATTGTGTGGGTTTATTTAGTACTAGAGTGTCGTACTTCTGGTGAGAGAACCCCAGTTCTGTCTGAAGAGATAGGTGTAAAAATATAATGCAAAAAGTCGTTTCGACTTTGTATAAAGTATATATGAGAAGAGCTGACGGTGATGTTTGATCGGGGATGTGTCAGGAGACATTATTGGTGATATGTATTACATGACGACAATGTATACAGTATATACCTTTGGCAAGGAACTCCCGGTGTTGTTTTAGGGACTCCTCCAGCTCGGCGTCTGTGTAAGACCGGAGTGGTGACCGGGCGTATGTGTGCTGCTGGATCAACGTCTCCATACTTTCTCTGTATTTAAGAAAGACGTGGTCAGAGGCAGATGATGGACTTTATGAAAAAAATAGAATCAAGGCAAATGATGAGTGGTCAGGAGCTGTGGGATTAGGTACATAGTGGGTTAGGTACAAACTGGGTTAGGTACATGTACACCGCGGTACATAGTGGATTTGGCACAAACAGGGTAAGGTACACCGCGGTACATAGTGGATTAGGCACAAACAGGGTAAGGTACACCGCGGTACATAGTGGGTTAGGCACAAACTGGATAAAGTACACCGCGGTACATAGTGGATTAGGCACAAACAGGGTTAGGTACACCGCGGTTCATAGTGGGTTAGGCACAAACTGGGTTAGGTACACCGCGGTACATAGTGGGTTAGGCACAAACTGGGTAAGGTACACCGCGGTACATAGTGGGTTAGGCACAAACAGGGTAAGGTACACCACGGTACATAGTGGGTTAGGCATAAACTGGGTAAGGTACACCGCGGTACATAGTGGGTTATATGTACTGGTTTAGGTACAGCACAGCATATCAATATGCAGTTTGAGTATTTCATTCTAGTACACGAGTTTCAAGTGGAATGCACGCGAGAAACATTTTGTTTAAAACCTGATGAAAATTGTGCAGTTACGCTCTATATCTAAAAATGATATAGACTGTGTAAATGAGCACTAGATGAAATTCGTATTACCGAGAAAAATAAAGAGATTATGAATAAAATAAACATACAAAACTTCAAACAAATATATACAGCAACATGAAGTGATGACGTAGGAATAAAAATGTGTATCAACACGAAGTTATGACGTACTATAATCAAGTGCAACAATATGAACTGATGACGGAAGAATAAAAAATATAAACAGGAAGTGACGATGACGTTAGATTAAACGCAATACTCTGAATTATATTATCGTGCACAATTAAAACTCAAGTAATCGATATTTCCTTAATTCTATTTTGAGAGAAATCGAGATCCTATAGACATCCTATGATTAGTGCAGTGTTGCCTACGAGATATTTTACAAAGTGAGAGAGAATCTCCTAAATTAACAGACAGTGCGTGTGCTGAGTTTCGGACGATTGTCACGACGCCTTTAGATGGATTTGGTGAGTCACGCGTTGACAGTACCAACCCATCATCGAGGCCGAAGTAAACGTAAGCGGTTGGATGCACGTACATTACCCGTGTGGACGTGTTTGAAGCAAAACACAGATACAGCCGACCCCCAATTTACACCCCTCAGTCCTGACCACGATTCCACTAACATTCCAACACTCATGAACAATTCATGCACATTGTTATTCCCTCCAATGGTCTGACATTACTGTGATTAAGGAATGAATCGCTCAAACCTGAAAAGCATTTTGCAGAATTATATTTACCTTGAAAACCCAATTCTACCAGGACTATGACGTCAATTGTAACACGTGGATATTAACATGATTTTAATAGAGGCCTTTCCAATATTTCAAATCGTGTAGTCTTTTTCCTCCTTAGAACTTCAAGACTATTCTTTGACGAATAAAAATATATATTTGACTATGTAATGAATATTCGTTTTTGCTCTTCCTCTTTCGATTTACTATAAAACTGGACTACAACTGTCACTCCATTCACTTAACACTGTTTAAGGTGTTATGACTGAGGAGAACCTGGCCACATCCTCAAATAGTTAAACATGATATACACATCTCCAGAGGTAAGAAATTACCACTATATTTTCCTTATTGTATATGCCACCCTTACACAACTTTTAAAGAAAAAATAAGAAATGTAATGCAATAATTTTGAGAAAATGCATCTTAATTCTTCTGCATTTGTATTATTATACCATTTAGATAAAGCAGAAGAGGTTTTTTTGTAAGACAGTTATACAATATTCAACAAAACCCTTGTAATGGTATTGTTCGGTGTTAGCCCCCCCCCCCCCCCCCTTATTGTCCACCAACCCTAAGTGTTCAGTGTAATAAAATCCCCTATTGTTCACCAAGCCATAGTGTTCAGTGTGAGGAAATCCCCTATTGTTCCCCAAGCCTAAGTGTTTAGTGTGAGAAAATCCCCTACTATTCCTGAAGCCATAGTGTTCAGTGTGAGGAAATCCCCTATTGTTCCCCAAGCCTAAGTGTTCAGTGTGAGAAAATCCCCTATTATTCCCGAAACCATAGTGTTCAGTGTGAGGAAATCCCCTATTGTTCCCGAAGCCATATTGTTCAGTCCGAGGAAATCCCCTATTGTTCCCGAAGCCATAGTGTTCAATGTGAGGAAATCCCCTATTGTTCCCGAAGCCATGGTGTTCAGTGTGAGGAAAATCCCATATTGTTCTCCAAGCTCCACCAGTGTTAGGTGTAAGGAAGACCCATATTTTCTCCATTTNGTGAGGAGGCGCCCCCTATTGTTCCCCATGCCCAGTGATTGTGTGATGATTCGTAACACTAGTACAAATTATACCTTTCAAACTCTGTCAATCTTGTCGAATCCCGGAATCCCTTCGCAAACGGGTTGCTATCAATCTTCAGCTTAGTGATCTGCGGAACACAGAATTTCCATTGCAAATTGGTGAAATACATAAGAACAGCAAACATAAATGTCAAATAAAGATTATTGAGTAGGAAATTTCAGCGTGTTTACAAGCATTTTGGCCGAAATTCAGCAATGACTTAAAGAACGCCTGTATGCGGTAACGACATGAGTAGAAAGTTGATAGCGTTATACGTAGGAGGGTGGCGGTGTTGAATGTGGAGTAAGGAGCCGTTTTACGAGCCTGAAAGCACTTGTACGAGTATAGAGAGTACAGGCGCGTTACCCGTGTTTGACACATGCACGGGGACCTAGCCGGATACACTCACCAGTTGGTTCTGGTAGGCAGTCACACCGATAAACACACTCTCCGTAAAGACGAAGGTCTTGAATTCCTCCGCATCCAGACTCGTAATTGAGGTCTGATTAGCGATCGACTCCTTCTTTCTCACGATGTGAATTCTCGGCTGGTATTTATGCATTGAATTCAATATAATCTGGAATAAAATAAAACAGGTACATTACAGGGTTTCTCAATTACGTTGAACACTCATTCCCCTGACAGCGCCTAGTATACTTAGCATTTAATCGTAAGATTTAGCTGCCTAAGACAGTCGTATTTACAGTCCGCCTGTATACAATAGATCGGCATTCATCGACGCACAACTGCGCCATTTCATCTACACGGAGACAAATGTTGGAAAGTGAATTGACTTTAAGGGGAATTGTATTATATGTACCCTTTCATGTAGACACTGCGTTTATTTAGAAGACAGGGGTGTTTACTTTTGTTTCAAATGATCCTTTTTTAATTATCTTCTAGGACTTAAACTTGTCGGTAGCCCGGATTATAACACAATAAATAATTTCACAACGTTAGTGAAATGAATCACACAGAAGTACAAAGCACACCTATTAAACTCTTATTTATCATTTACACACTAGTACACACTCTATTGATAGACATTTAAATTAGCTACTGAAATCTATCGGTGCTAGTGATGTATATAACAAATATACCTCGTAGAAGCTGAACGTTCTTTTGGACAAATTTCAGTGCTTGAAGCCTACTTTAGACTACGTTAATATTGGTGCGCAACCCACGGACGTGGTATAATCATGTATAAATCGGCTACTGAAAGTATTATCGGTGCTAGTGATATATGTAACAAATATTCTTCGTGAATGATTAGCGTTCTTTGGGACCAGCTTCAATGTTTGAAACCTATTTTGACTTTATTTGTTACAATCATAGACAAAAAATGTACCCAAATAATTTTGATCACTTGGATGTCTGATTCTAGAGATGCAGTTGAGAAATTCTTCATTAAAACTTTGGGGCCTGTAGCCAGTCTAGTACATTTGTACAAGGTTGAAATAATACGGACATCACGACATTATAATTATAAATACTTACATGCCCATTTTTATCCAACATGTTGTTTGTAAGTTTCAGTTTTTCAAATGAGACGGTCTGTTTTTGGAGTTGTTCTCCGGTGAAGGGAGAGTCAGGGTGCATGTAAAGTCTGGTCGGGAGGGGCGGGTCGGCCTTTCCGGCCACCAACCACGATGACCGGTGGTAGGCGTATCTGTAACGCTTATTGTCCACTGGAACTATATCCATAAGCACCATGTACCTAACCTCGGGGTCAACTCCCGTGAATGACATTCGTAAAGTGGGGAACATCCGCCTGAAACAAAAAGTCCAACTTTGTTACTTAGATCAAGAGAGATACATTTCCAAAAATTGTACAAATTAAAACATTGTACGACTAGAAAGATACAAAATTAAACATTATACAACAAGACAGCTACAAATCCTAAATCAAACATTGTACAACAAGAGAGATACAAAATCAAACACTGTACAGCTAAAAAGATACAAAATCAAATATTGTACAATTAGAAAGATACAAAATCAAACATTGTACAAGTAGAAAGATTCAAAATCAAACATTGTACAACAAGAGAGATACAAAATCAAACACTGTACAACAAGAGGGATACAAAATCAAACATTGTAAAAACAAAAGAGATACAAAACAAACATTGTATAACAAGACAGATACAAAATCAAATATTGTACAATTAGAAAGATACAAATCGAACATTGTTCAACTTCAGAGATACAAAATCAAACATTGTACAAAAAGAGAGATACAAAATCAAACATTGTACAACAAAAGAGATACAAAACCAAACACTGTACAGCTAAAAAGATACAAAATCAAATATTGTACAACAAGAAAGATATAAAATCAAACATTGTAAAACAAGAAAGTTACAAAATCAAACATTGTACAATTAGAAAGATTCAAAATCAAACATTGTACAACAAGAGAGATACAAAATCAAACATCGTACAACAAGAGAGATACAAAATCAAACATTGTATAACAAGAGAGATACAAAATAAAACATTGTACAACAAGAGAGATACAAAATCAAACATTGTACAACTAGAGAGATACAAAATCAAACATTGTACAACAAGAGAGATACACAGTTAAACACTGTACAGCTAGAAAGATACAAAATCAAACATTGTACAATTAGAAAGATACAAAATCAAACATTGTACAACAAGAGAGATACAAAATCAAACACTGTACAACTAGAGAGATACAAAAGCAAACATTGTACAACAAGAAAGATACAAAATCAAACATTGTACAATTAGAGAGACACAAAATCAAACATTGTACAACAAGAGAGATACAAAATAAAACATTGTACAATTAGAGAGACACTAAATTAAACATTGTACAATTAGAGAGACATAAAATCAAACATTGTACAACAAGAGAGATACAAAATCAAACACTGTACAACTAGAGAGATACAAAATCAAACATTGTACAGCTAAAAAGATACAAAATCAAACATTGTACAATTAGAAAGATACAAAATCAAACATTGTACAACAAGAAAGTTACATAATCAAACATTGTACAACAAGAGAGATACAAAATCAAACACTGTACAACAAGAGGGATACAAAATCAAACATTGTACAACAAGAGAGATACAAAATCAAACAGTGTACAACAAGAGAGATACAAAATCAAACATTGTACAACTAGAAAGATACAAAATCAACGATTGTACAACTAGAGAGATACAAAATAAAACATTGAACAATTAGAAAGATACAAAATCAAACAGTGTACAACAAGAAAGATACAAAATCAAATATTGTACAATTAGAAAGATACAAAATCAAACATCGTACAACTAGAAAGATACAAAATCAACGATTGTACAACTAGAGAGATACAAAATAAAACATTGAACAATTAGAAAGATACAAAATCAAACAGTGTACAACAAGAAAGATACAAAATCAAACATTGTACAGCTAGACAGATACAAAATCAATCCCTGTACAACTAGAAGGATACCAAATCAAATATTGTACAACAAGACAGCTAGAAATCAAACATTGTACAACAAGACAGATATATATACATACTCTACTATTGACGCTGAGATTCAAGGTCAACATTGTAAATTTATATAGACACAAAGTCAAACATGGAGACCTAGACACTGCATACCCTTAGATAAAGGCGATTATAGCAGAGCAAAACGAAAACATAAACACGACAGACATAGCGATACAAATTAAGTCAAGCATTTAATATCTAGGTTTACAAAATCAACGTTGAAAACCTTGAGATACGAAGTCAAATATTGGTGACAAAAACATTTTCAAAATCAAGCACTGATGACCAAGATGCCGTAATGTATCATTTTTTTTTTAATATGGACTGGTTTATGAATTAAGAACTCCTAGTAATTCCTACAAATAGATTGTTCTGGGGTTCTTCTAGTGTTGTCATTTTGGGAAAGGCTCTACCGTAGTGTATGCTGTCTTTTGTAATGTTAGGTAAAAGTACAAAAAGACCAGAAGTCCTTAGTTGTCAATCGATCTATATTAACTGAAAAATACAGACTTAAGCAGAGCAGTGGTGACTGGCTTCGATATTGTCCCACAATAATACATGGAGTTTGAGTTTAATGTGATCACGACTGTTCAAATCAACACGCGCTGGAAAAGGTCTAGAAAAAAAAATGTCTTGGAAAATTCGGTCGAAATTGATACATGCCTCGTTTTGAGGTGGAAACACGTCATTATGGGTCTGAGCGATCACCCCGTCCAAATGGTAATCACGCTGTCTCCAGTCGCTCGTGGTGAACGCCTAATGCATTGCAAAGGACTGCAGCAGAATAATTTTCAAATTTGACTGAGCCTTGCATAATTTAAAATGGTCCTGACTAAATATATATATACGTCATAGTGAAGTACATACGCTTGTGGTTTTTTTGTGTTTTTCTTTATTTTTTTGTTTTTCGTGAAATGATGACCAGTTCGATTACATCATGGGTATGCATTTTGTTAGTGTTATTATCATAGAGACATGCATTCATCTACATCTTTCTTCACTAAAGGATATGCAGAGTCATTTGAACTCATGCTGTTCGGATTTATCACATTTTAAAATGTCTTCGAGTACCTTTTCCGTGCATATTACCAATTTTGAGATCTCACACTTACAATTTTACGATTAAAAACGGATGTAAACATTCAAATATAAAATTGATGTTATATTTAACAATACCTTTTTTATAAACAATAAAAAACAAAACAAAAGCATGGTCAAACAAACAAGAAAATGTTTGCGTAGTAACATTCCAGGAATACCGGCAGTGATAGTTACTTATCAGTATGTGTATTGGTGTGAGTGGAGGGTGCAATGTTGTCATGATTACCGGGGTAATTAAGGAGAGATTGTGTCTTATCTGGCCACCAGATGTCGCCTCCACACTCGAGTTCACCTGTCAGTGTGGGAGTGTCACTGTACAGACAAACCATGTGTCGGGGTAGGGGGTAGGGAGAGGTAGGAGTGTCACAGGGAAAGTCTAACCAGCAATGGAGGGGGTGTCAATGTACCAAACTTACCTCATGTCGGCCAAGGCAGACTGAAAGTCAGGAGAGAGGCTATCAAAGCGAGGTCGATATAAGGTATTGGTGCATAAGGTATCTGGTTATGACACCTGTTGTAGCGCACTTATGTTTTCGATAGGTGAATGAAAGCAGAGCGTTATGTCAGAAACACCAGGCGGTGTTGTGGTCAATGTTGTAAGTGTTCAGATAACTGTTTACAGCCTCACTCCAACGTTTAGCATTGCATACGATACCAACGAAAGGTTGAAACGGTGAAAACGCATAGCATAGAAATATCATATGTATATATCTATTACGGCATTCGACTTTATATACAGAACATCGACAATAATTATAATAGTTACTAAAAAATAACGAGTGATTCATAAGGGTGTACCAACGAGATGCAGGCTTTCAAGGTGCTAATATTGTGTTCTATACGACGTAATTACATTGATCTATGTTGTATGCCCAATTCTTCCAGAACGGCCAGTATTTGATAAACTGGTACCTGCCATTGACATTGTCTAATTTCTTTCCTAAATTTAGTTTTTTTTTTCTTTCTTTCTCAAAAGATTAAGAAACACATTTTTTTTAATCTTTGCCTTCTTTCATTATTATTATTAAATGCTGAACGGCCAAAATGGTCTTTGCCTTCTTATCATTTTTATTTACATATTCTTATTGTTTGTATTTACATATATGGTTAATTTATTTGTTGTGCTTACAACTACTAAACAGGATTACTGAGAGGTTTCACGTTTCTAGGATCACGTATATTGTTTGTGTTGTAAAGGGTGGCACTTCTATGTTTTTATATGTGTTTGTTCCGAATTTTTCTATTAAATAAATGATGTATTGAAAAACATTGAAACCCTCCATACTTTCTCATATAAATCAGCTGTCGAGTCTAAACATTTGGTTTATTTCAAACATATCTCCTTTACTTTGTTCAACTACTGGGCAATACAGCGGTGGTCAAGATCGACCTCAAATGACCTATGGGCAGTCAGTTCAAAAACATATATTTCTAGAAAAATTGTAATTTTCCAAAGCATTTAGAGAAAACATGATTGACTATCCGTCAAATGTCTAGCGATGATCACGCCTCCTAGTAATCGTTGTCGGCATCTGTGGTAGTTCGGTAGGTAACCCACACCGGCAATATCCCGGAAGGCGTGACCCGTAGCTACTGGGGGATCTACCCCTGACCCCTTGTACATTTGTTTTAATCTATATGGTGGTGATTTATTGCAGACTGGTGAAGATTTCCACGTGGTACGATGGGAGAAGAAGTGTTCAGGGCAGTAAAACACATAAACTAGCGAATGTCAAGCGAGCTGGCCGGACAGACAGGTACTCTCGCTCCCGTGCCCCCTCACTCTCGGTACACTATCATTAGGCGTGATTGATACTCGGTACTCCTCTCGTGTCAGCCTATAGATACAGCAGTGCCCATCTTCACACATGAGATACAAGCGTTTGGTGTTACTGATAATGTTCCTCTATTGTTTTCATTGTTGATAGTACCAATGTCCCTCAGGCAGTGTTGTATTACATCACAATTGAAGGGCAATTTACAACCGCCACACTTCCAACGGCCATTTTGATTTTCATTGCCTGCCCATTATTGTGATATAATTGCTACATTAATGCGGATAATTAAATAGGGAGGGTACCGACCGGGACACTAGGGACACCTGACGAGGACTGGACAGCCGACTGGTCAACTGGCCGGACAACTGACGACACTAGGGACAAATAAAGGCACC